TTTTAAAATGTTTTAAGTATAACATTACTGTCTTTTTTTGGTATGAATTAGTTTATTTAATATAGTTACTATTCTCCCCGGGCATTGGTGGAGCACACCTTTAATCCCAGCACTCAGGAGGCAGAGGCAGGCAGATCTCTGTGAGTTCGAGGCCAGCCTGGTCTACAGAGCAAGTGCCAGGATAGGCTCCAAAGCTACACAGAGAAACCCTGTCTCAAAAAACATATATATATATATTATTCTCAGTTTACCAATCAGAAATAGAGAAGTGGTGAGAAATTATATAGCATTAAAGAATTATTAACAGAGTTCGGTTTGGATATAAGTGCTGGTTTGAATAGAAATGGCCCCCATATATTCATGTGTTTGAATGCCTGGCCCACAGAGAGCTTCGGCATAAAGTTACTGTCTTAACCTCACAACTCCTCCTACCTTGTAAAACTAAAACTCTAGCCCATTAAACAGCAACCCTTGATTCTCTGCTCTGTCATGTGGCCATTCTATTTTCTTTGTCTATAAATTAACATTCTTAAGGCACCTCCACCTATAGCATACGTCAGATTTCACTTGCTGGTGGGATATAGCTGTGTGGCAGAGCACTGGCCTGGCATGCATAAAGTCTGGGTTCAATCCCATCACTGGGGGCCGGGAACTTTTCTTTTAAAGGTGAAGTACTACTGCTGCGTGCATATATCATATTTTGCTTATACTGTCAGCAACAAACACTGCTGCTTCTGCGTTTTAGCTACCAGGCATAATGTTGTTATGAGCATGGTTGTACAAATACCCAAGTCTCTGCTTTCAGTGTGTGTGTGTGTGTGTGTGTGTGTGTGTGTGTGTGTGTGCCTAGTAAGAGAACTGCAAGATTTTACACTAATTTTATTTTAAGTTTTAAATTTTAAGTGTTATACTGTTTTCTACAGCAGACATAAAAAGTTTTAAATAATAATAGCAAATACTTTCATAATGTCAAATGAAAGAAGGAAGCTGCAACTTTTATACTTAATAAAATCTTAGCTATAGAAAAAAACAGGAAAAAAGAAGTAACTGAATAAAACTGTTAACCAGTAACAGTGGTTTCAATGGACTGTGATAAGAGTAGCTTTCTTTTTTGAATTTGTGCTAGACTATTTTTTCTTGATATGCACTGATAGCTGAGGAAAAACATGAAAGAAGTTTAGTAGAAAATAAATTTCCTTTTGACTAGCATATCATCCACCCTAGTGAGTCTAACAGTACACACAGCTCACCAAGTTTTCCTTATCATTTTGATTTTAGTTTTGTTTTGTTTCTTGAAAAAGTTTGCTGTGTAGTTTGGACTGGGCTGAAATTTGCAACAATACTCTGTCTTAGGCCCCACCAAAGCAGTAGAATTAACAGATACGCACCAGCACACATGGGATATTTCATCAGGTTTGCTAAAAGGAATATCCAATACATATTTACTTTTTTATGACTGAAGGAAACACACGATAACAAACCACTTCTGAAAAATTTTAAGCCCAATATAATTGTAATCCCAAATTACAACCAAAGTCAATAAGCCCTTTCCTCTTAGTCCTGCTTGAAAGAGCTTTTCTAAGGCCTTCCCATTTGGGCAGGGGCCAGGAGTCAGCTAGGACAGTGGAGCTGGAGCCTGCAGATATTGAGGGTGGCAGGTGTGGCCACTGCTGGGGATTAGACTGCCTCCTCTTTGTGGCACCCCAGACAACCCTCCCAGGCCAGGGGCTAACTCTACTTCTCACTTGGTTCCTGACCTGGGTTGGCTGAGTTTTCTGCCAGGAGTTGGTAACAGCTGCCTTCACACCAAGAGAAAGACGGTGAACTGGCTGAGGAGGGAAAGCTGAGGGAAAAAGAAGGGACACGGAAGCTTAATGAGTTGATTTCCATAAAGGCTCTGCCATCCTGGAATGAAAAGCGGCCTGTAAGAGCAAAAGCCTAGTCCTTTATTCAAGCCACATTGCCAGCTGGCCATTTATCACCTAAAACTCCCCCAACAACTCTGTGTGTACTGCTCAGCCAGCTTACAGAAATAAATCCTTATTAATCATGAAAAGTCAAAACATGAATATAAAACCAAAGTCTTTATGTGCTCTCAATTTTAGACTTCAAAACTCATTGATTATCCATCACTCCAAAGAATTGTTTTAGAAACCATCTGGAACAAAAGGATAAATAAATGACACATCCCCTAAAATTCTTGTGCTTATTGGACTGGATGAAGTCAATGGTCACATGAACTTCAGGAGGAAAAGGTGTTGCTGCTAGAACTTAACCCAACATTTTCTTCCCTAGCAACAGTAATTTTTCATAGGTTACACTAGAAAGATACAGAGAGGCCTCAGTGAGCCCAAGGCACATTTATCTTTCATGTGTAAATGACCAGAATAAAGGGGCCTCTTCAGCAGCTGGACTCAGAACACCCTGCACTGTAACATCTCCATGGCAAAGGCAGGGAAGAGAGGAAGAAAGGACCTGCTTTGAGGTGACTACCATGACCCCAAATGGGTTCATCTGGGCATGCACTTAACTGGTATAGACAAATACCTCCCACAGAAAGAGGCCCTCCGAGATAAGGTGGGCATGGGGCAGGTGAAGGTTTCCTTACCTACATGGAGTTCAGGGACTGTAAGCATCCCTCAATGATGTGGGTAACACAGAACAGCTCATGCAAAGCTCTGGAATGCACTGTGCTTGGGCAGCAGGATTTCCTTCCAAACTCTATTCTAGGCTGGGAACACACCCTGATTAACACTTGTAAAAAAGTATGTTGGGGAATAAGAGGAGGTCTGGTGTTAGGAACCATCCACAGACCACCCACTGAGTGGAAAGTTCACACTTGGATAATAGAGAGCTGACTGTATTGAGGACAGACAAGTGGCTTTCCTGGACTCTGGGCAAGGAGGTAGAAACTCAGCGAGCTCATGTAGTTCATGATTTCATTTTCTAGGCTAAGGAAATCGGAGGTGAAACTCAGAGAAGGGGGTGGAAGTCATGATGACAACGAAAAGGTTGGATGGACAACAGTGACAGAGACCATGGGAGATGTTCCCTAAGGCAGGAAGGACTTCTCTTGCTGGAGAGCAGGTGGGCAGAAGTACCACTTTAACAGCCGGCTTCAGGCACTGAGCAAACTGAAGTCCATCAAGGGCTGGCCTGTCCCTCCACCTTCTTTCTCACGTAACAAGGAATGGACTCGGGAAGCAGGCAGGTGACAATTCCCAATGAGCCTAAGCAAACGGGTAGAAACTCCTTCCAGCAGCTTAAGAACCAAGACTTGTGACTTAGAGAAGTTACGGCTGGAAAAGGGTTTCGGCAGGATGATTTCTGGGGAACCTCCACTTCCTGACCCCCAGAAATAATAGCTAGGAAGACCTGGTGAAACACTAAGTGGCAAATGTGACCCCACGTCTCTGTTCTCCCAGGAAGTGAACCTTAGAGAGGCTGAGGGTCACAGAACTGCACAGAAGGTAAAGCTTGGAGAAACCACTTAACAGGTCGCATAACTTCAGACAGAGAATAGCCCTTCAGTATCCCTTATCCCCACCCCTAGTTTTAAGTATTGACTGAACAGAAATTAGGCAGCTTACTACCAAACCCACCATCATGGACAACCACCACTGACTCCCCTTCACAAAAATGGTTTCCTTCAGGAGCTTCCAGTGTGCCTGCCTGGTTGTTTCTGCCTCGTGGAGGATTATCCCATCATTCTACATGGCCACCTTTTCTGTCTATGCTATTACCTAAGCCTGGAGTTCTCCCTGCCTTGGCCATTTGGCAAAATTCTACCTCTCTGAATGAGTTTGCTGTTGAACCTCCCTCAACTCTCCTCTGGGCCATGAGTGTACTTCTTACATTTGTATTGTATTTGTTATCACATTTAAAATACTTAGTGGAAACATGTGGTTTACTCCTTTTTTGAACCCCCTAGAAGCCAGGTCTAGCCCTTTTCTTTTCATCTGTGGATATATAGGTCATTTGATGGTGGCCTGTTCTACCAATGCTTTCCTTAGTCTGGTGACTGGGACACCCACAATGCCCATTCCTTGACTTCCTATACAGAGTGGGGAGTCTAACAAAAGTGAACAGAAACACCACGGTTACCAAACAAAAATGAGTGAGTGTTATAGTAGACAACGAAATACCAAGTCAAATTCAGAGGGAGCACACGATAGAATAGGATATGGTAAAGGAGCATTGGCCTATTCTTAGCAACCTTTGCCAGAGTTGACTCACAGAGGCCCTTACAGGGACACTGCCTTACCAGGATCTGGGGACCTAAACAAAGATCTTGAACACACTGTTGCATATAACAAAATGAAAGACTCTTTTATCTTCTAAGTACCAGAATAAATACTGGTAAGAATGCCAAGAAGAAGTAGTACCCACTCTACTTTGCTTACCATATGCAGTCCTTCTTTCCACTTTCATTTCCCTTTCAAGTCCCACCTTCCCTTCAGTGCCTGCTCAAATCACCCAAGGATCCCCCCCCCCCCCCCGCCCCGCCCCACACAGACCTTTTTAGAAACAGGGTTTCTTTGTAGCTTTGGAGGCTGTCCTGGAACTCACTCTGTAGACCAGGCTGGCCTCAAACTTGCAAAGATCCACCTGTCTCTTTCTCCCCAGTGCTGGAATTAAAGGTGTGTGGTACCACTGCCAGGCCACCCAAAGATCTTTAACCTTTAAGCTTCTATGGCTCCTAAGGTTTTGTATAATGAAGACCAGTCAACTGCTATGGTTTACCTACACAGAATTGGGTATTTGGTGAGGATAAGAATCATTGGACTTCTGAATCCTATCAAATCACTAACCCCATCACTCAGCAATTTTAGAAAAATTGTCAAGGAAGTATTTTCTTTGCCATAACACAAAGGTCTAAAATATTCTAGTAATTCTGGGAAACTCGTGTAAGTAGTCAAAAATTGCTCACAACCAGAGACAGTGATTCTCGAACACACCGCTAACCTGATGACGCCTCCTCACGTGGGGCTTTGACATACCTCGTGGCTAGCCACAGTTTGGCTTTGGTACAGGCAGTGATGTCACTCAGCTCGTGCTGAAAATCTGCATTTGTTCTGTGTCTGGAGTCTGTAACGTAGGCTTGTAACAAATGAAAAACCTGAACCGGAAAAGAGAAAAGGCAAAGCTCTGCAGTGAAAACATTTTTCATAAATACTCAGGTCCTCTCTTTCAGATGTCCTCAAACTGTCCCCTCACAGGAAGCAGACACCTGCAGAAGGTGGAGAGGATACAGCACAGGTGACAAGTCCAGGGCTCAGCCAAACCCATGCACTTCTGGGTCTTCCTCATAATTCCCCAGATCGGGGGTCACTGTGACCACATAATCATCTGCCTCAAGAGCTTCTTACTCAGAAACGACCTGTACACTGCGTTGAGCAGAGAAGTGCAATTATTGTTCTGTCAGCAGTCTCACATGAAACCAAACTCCAAGTCTTCGTGCAGGAAGGAACTGAGTCTAAGTGGTTTAGACGTAAGTCTGGGTTCATTAGGACAGTGTGGGCTAACGAGGTAGGCACACCACAGCACGCCTGTGAGGAAGCAGGAGGTGGGGTCTGTGATAGATCTCTCAGACTTTCCCTGGGCAGTTAGGGGAAGGGACAGCCATCAGATGTGGGGCACACTCTTGACACTTACATGGCAATCATATACCGGAATTAAAAGCTGGCAGGGCAGATCCCTGAGTCTCTCTAGTGTTTATATTTAGGATGGCAGCCCTGTTTAACCACACAAGCAAACCAGCCCACGAGCAATGTGTGTGAGCTCCTACTCAGCAATGGCTTACGGCACCTTTGTGAAGCACACAAATCTTTGGGGGAAGAATGACACAGAGGGTAGTGTAGACAAGGTCAGACAGCATCTGACCATAAGGACTCACAGCAGACAACTCTTGTGAGTAGCTCCATTATCTATATAAGATGAAAAGGATGAAGGAAACAAAGTAACAATAAACACATTAAGAATTTTAAAATTTATTTTAGTATTATTATTTTTTTCTGTTGTATCTTCTGCCTCAAGTGCTGGGATTACCGACACATGAGCGGCCATGTGTTTTTATGTGGGCTCTTAGGGTAAGTCTACATGCAAGGACTAATTTACCCACAGTGCCCTCTCTCAGTCTGGACCTCAGTCTTCCAAGTGCTGGGATTATAGGTATGGGTTATAATCCCCTTGAGGTAAGAATTCAAGCAGTCCAGGCTGGTCTCAAACTCCCTATGTAGCTGAAGCTGGCCTTCCACAGGATTTGATCCTCCTGCCTCTGCCTCCTGAGGGAATGACAGGTGGAGGCTGCCATGCGCAGGGTAGCCTTTCCTTGAAGCAGAAGTACACAGGAGTGTGCACTCAGTCCCTGTATGGACTCTGAGACACTTTCTCTAACAAAGGACCTGTTCTTTCAGATGCACCAGGTCAGATGCTCTTCCCTTACCACAGCCTGCAGGGACCTAACCACCCGGCATGGAGCCTGGAGTACAGGGCTGGCTGGGGCTTCTGTTCCTATGTGGTGATTGCCAGAGGGAAAAATACCTCCCTCGGCTCAATCCCCACTGTCCCGAAAGAGCTGGAAGAGTCACTGGGCCCTGCTTTCTTTTCTCCACAGCTGCGCTAAACCAACCACCAGGGCTTTCATGTGTCACAGGGCTGTAATTAATCAGCAGACACCAGCAAAACACACGACTATGGAATTTACTTGTCAAGAGAGCTGTGAGGTTTCAAATGCTTCTCATTTAGAAGCAGTCACTTCAGAAATAACCCCCAGTGGATGTTTAAGCTCTGGCCTATATTTGCTCACCTTGCTTGGCAAAAACAAGACTGTTTTTGAAACGCTTGGTAGCTCCAGCTTATGAATGCCAGCCTACAGGGCCCATCAATTCTGTCACCCTGGGCACAAACCAGACAACAATTGTTATCCTGGTTACACACCAAGGACAGAGAGTGGTCTGTCTGCACCCGACAAGTGGATACAGAGGTGCATGTCGGCAGACCTGGTATAAAAAAGCAAGCAGAAGAGGCGGCACAACCTAAATTGCGCACATTCAGAGAAGTGGAGTCTGGGGCATGGAAGGAAAAGGAAAAGGATGGTAAGTCAGATGAAGGAAAGACCTGCAAGCAAACATGTGAAATAGATTCCTGTTTCTGAGAAATATTAGTGAAAACATCTGAATGCACAACCACCTTCACATGTTGTTTTTAACACTGAACTTAAGAAAAACGTGGCGATGATTAGTGAGGTCAGGGAGCTCTGGGAAAAGGCACCCATCCCTCAGCTCTTGGGGCCACTCTTCTCTCTCCCAGCTTTGCCTAAAGTGTTGGCATAGAGTCCGGTGGAGCCCAGGCCTGGGATAACTTGCAAACAGCCGGAACCAAGCATAGAGAAGCCAGGTCTGCCAGCCCGAGAAGGTGCAGAACTCAACAGACAGCCCAAAGTGCTGACAAGTTCAGTGCCAGTGCAGGGGCCCCAAGTCTGTAGCAGCATCCATACGCCCAACCCACAATTACTTGCAAAGCAAGTATTACTACCAGATAGTGGCCTGGGAACTGCAGCAGAGACCAAATAGCCCTGACTCTCTTGCAGCTCATGTTCTAATCACAGAGAAATGGGAGACTGGCAGCCTCCCTGATGCTGCATGCTCACATTGCCATCACCTATCTGGCCTTTTCTGATTTCCTGCTGTGAGTCTAGTGCATGGCAGGAACTCAACAAGCACTTCCTGCAGGGAACAGATGCTGGTGTTTAGTGTCTCTTCTAATACTAACTCTCTCAGGGCACATTCCCATGGACCCTGCACCCTGCAGTTGGTACTGACTCTGTGTTCTAGGTAGACAGAGAGCTGAAAGATACCATGTTCTTCATACTCCCATGACTCCTGATGGGATGGGATAGCAAGGCTAAAAGAATGGTTGACTCCCATTACACGGCACACACTATGAGAACAGGCATACATGGCTGTAAACCCATGACTAGCTATGTCCTTAGTCTACCAACAGTGAATAGAATAGATGGTAGTCTCATCTTTCTTTCCAGTTATTACTCTACTTGTGTGTGCATGTGTGCCGTGACACATGTAAAGGTCAGAGGACATCTTCTGGGATGGAATTGAAGTTTTTTCTTTTTCTTTTTCCTTCCTTCCTTCCTTTCTTTCTTTTTTGGGAGGGGGGTTTTGAGACAGGGTTTCTTTGTGGCTTTGGAGGTTGTCCTGGAACTAGCTCTTGTAGATCAGGCTGGTTTCAAACTCACAGAGATCCACCTGCCTGTGAGAACTGAAGCACTTTTATTTTCTTGGCTGAGCTATCTTGCCAGTCCAGTAGCTCTCTTTGTGGGAAATATGTTCCAAGATCAATGGTGGATACCTGAAACATTGGTTAATATAAATCCTACATAACCATGTATTTTCTCTACACACACACACACACACACACACACACACACACACACACACACACACACACACACACACACACACACCTACAAAAAGTGTAACTTTCAAACTACAACAAATGAGAAACAATAATAATAAATCAGGAAACAATGATAATACTGTAATAGATGTTACTTAAAATCTATTAATGGTTTATTTCTGAAATTTTGTTTCTTTTCCTTTTTTAAAATCTTTTCTTTTTCCCCCATTTCCCTCATAGCCCTGGATGTTCTGGAACTTGCACTGTAGACCAGGCTAACCTGAACTCAGAGATCTGTCTGCCTCTACTGAGTGTTGGGATTAAAGGTGGTGCCACCACTGCCTGATTTGGAACTTTAGTATTTTCAGATGGTAGCTGATGGTAATTGAAACTTCAGAAAGAGCAACTAATGGGAACAGAGGGATCTCTGCAATAATGTTTATCTTTTGACTAGAGAGATATGTTTATTCTCCCACAACACACACACACACATTTCAAAGTCACAGAGATCCGCCTTCTTTTGAGAACTTGGAAGATCCACTTGTAGTGGACCCAACACGTCACAAGCCACCTATGGGAGGAGATACTTATTGTCCATTACCTTGGTTGCTAAGGGAGTATTAATGCCATTTATCACTGCTCATTTATTTATTTATTTATTTGACTCAGACTTCAAGACTCTACCAAAGGTCTGAAAGGAAAGGACAGAGAGGGCATGGTTTTAGATGATCCCTCTAGGTTTCTGTCCAGGACAGCATTCTGATTTTGTGGTACCCTCTAACAACCACATCTAAACACTTGCAGCCGTGAATACAGAGGAAAGCACACACATGAGAGACCGCCTTGGGCTGTCAAGCAGGGCAACAGCTGGGAAAAAAACTAGGTGGATGTCAGGAAAGACACTTGGGGAGTTGGGCCACCTTTCAAGATCCCCAGCAGGTCTGAGAATGAGGGAGGGGGATTGGATGAGCTTGGAAATGGACATCATCCTTACTGAGATGTGGCGTGAGGAACATCCATGGGATGCTTTTTCTTAGTCGTCTGTTGTACAAGAACAGTATTGTTTGAGACGGGAGGGAACTCTGCTCATCTCTTCACCTTAGAACAGAGGACAGTTTATGTCTAGAAATAGTTAGTCCCTAAAGTGGATTCAGAGATGTCGTCAATGAAAGAAGACAGGAGAAGAGAGCATTTCCTTGCCACGAAAACCTGGAAAGGTGAGTTCAGGATCCAAGACCAAGGGGAAGGAGACAAGTAACTTTACAGTGCTGCTGGCAGTTTCTTTCTCACCAGGTCCTGCAGCCACCTTTGAGCCCCAAATGAACATACAGAGATGCTATATTAATTATTAAACTGTTAGCCGATGACTAGAGCTCTAATTGGCTACCTTTGTCTTAATTATTAACCCATTTCTATTTATCTATGTATTTCCACGTGGTCTTATCTTACTGGAGAAGGGTCCAGACCTCTTACTCCTTTGGTGGCTACATGGTGTCTCCTTCTGGTGGGCTTTCTTTGCCTACCTTTCCCAGAACTCTCCTTATCTCATAGTCCCGCCTATCTCCCTGTCTCTTTGGCCACAGTGTTTTATTCATCAATCAATAAGAGAAATACATATACAGAAGGACATCTCCCATCATCTCCTCTTTTCTGTCTAAATAAAAAGAAAGGTTTTAACTTTAACATAGCAAAATTATTTATAAC